TACCAGGCTTTTTGATGTTTTTACTGCCCAGGGAATCCTTTAACAAAGCTTGTGCACCTATTCTCAGCATCTTCTGAGAAGCCTTTATTATTTTTCTCATTTTCTAAGCACTGAGTCATAAGAGAGAGAAGGGTGGGGGAGAGGGAGAGAGGGGAGAGGGAGAGAGAGAGAAAGATGGGCTCATTTACTTGATCAAAGTAAAATTATAGAATCACAGTATCTTAGAAAAAAGGACTCACAGCGATACTCATGGAGTAGTTGAGGAAATAGAGGCTCTGAGAGGTGGAGTTGGTAAGGGTCAGATTTTAGCACTGGGTTCTGTGCACTTTTTTACAATCTCTGGCATGTTCCTTCCTCCATCTATTTATTCTTTCCTTCAGGCATTACTGAGCATTCACATCAGCCATACATGGACCTAGGGCAAGTAAGACAGGGTTCCTGCCCCCAAAGGAATTCACAAATAATAGAAAAAAATTTTTTTAATTGTTTTTGAGGATAGTGGGTGCCATGGTTTGGATATGGGTTGTCCCCTAAAGGTTCACATGCCGGAAGCTTGGTCCCAAGGGTGATGGTGTTGAGATGGGGAACCTTTATGACATGGGACCTAATGGGAGGTGATCAGATTATTGGGGTGCTGCCCTCCAAAGGATTAATGTAGTTCTAGAGGGATCCTCAATTATTTCTGTAAGAACAAATTGTAATAAAAGAACAAGTCTGACTTCTGAATCTCTCTGGCTTCCTGTCTTACCATATGATTTTTCCTCTCCCACATCTTCCTACCATAATGCTATCTGGCATGTGGTATATACAGAAGGCTGTCATCAAGCCTGGTAGAGGCCAGCACCATGCCCTTGAACCTCCTGAACTGTGAACTAAATAAACCCTTTTTCTTTGGAAAATACCTGGCCTTGGGTATTTTATTATAGGAAGAGAAAATAGACTAACCTAGAGAGTGAAAGGAGAGCCTGGTTAGTAGATAAACAATCTCTGTATAAATGATAAGTGTAGCAGTGGGGCAAGCTGACCAAAGGTAGGGTAAAAGAAGATATTTACATTAGCCTGGGGTTCAGAAAAGATTTGGTCCTAGCTGGAATGATGAATAGTGAAAGGATATATATATATATATATATATATATATATATATA